AAACTTTCAAGCAAGTTGTATTTGAAGAAACTTAGAAATGGATTTCGATCAGTTCAGAAAGTAAAATTAATACGTTAGATTGGAAACTATTTGACATTATATTACTTTATTTTAAGTTACAGGTTATGGTAAAATATTATCTTTATTTGAAGTTTTATTTCAACCACCCAGTACTAGTTCGTAGTGAAAGACAAACTACAGTATCGCTCGAATTATCACTTCGAATCGGAAACAGACTAYGCYWAAACTTCGCTTGCCCTCTGTTTGCTACAAACACTATCAAGTCCAAATATGTTAGATTGGAAACTATTTGACATTATATTACTTTGTTTTAAGTGCAAGGTGATGTTTTATTGTTTCGAATTCAACAGCTTACTCAGCTACTCCTTCGTAGTCGTTCGTAGTGAAAAATAAATTTCACTGAAATTTGTTCATATAGGCCTGAAAAACTAAAAGTTAACGATAGCTAACTTGTTTATATTTTGCATTACGAATGCATATATATATCAATAACTAAGTGGGGGTGAGATCACTTATATATGGGGGCGAGATCATGGGGCGACATCACTTCGGGGCGACATCACCAGATACCCTTATTGTAAGTGGAGTGTGTCAACATTGATAGCGCTCTAGCTTTGTCTATCCAGTATATAACTGGAGGTATGGGTGAGTTTTCACCTCTAGGAATATACAATTCAATAGTCTTGTTCAAAACAGAAGAAAAAAGGCAAAAAGTGTCATTGTTCTTTTAATAACGGCACAGCCAATCAGAATATTCGTTCCCAGTGAGGTGAACACTTGCCCAAAGGTACACTGTATTTTGTAAGCAACATGATTTGTTTGACCGCAAAATACTGTAAACGTACCAACAGTGTTTTCCAAAGCTTTGACTTCTTCTAGCTGTTGGTGATGGGAAGTCTGCTTCAGTCTTTCTTGAGCAAGCTCAGCCTCATGGACCTTCAGGTCATACTGCTCTTTGAGTTGTTGGTATCTACAAAAACAAATAATATGCTCTTTAAACAGGCACATTTTCATACTAATGGTACATTTTAGCCTCACAACCTTTACAGGCAACTCTCTGTGGCATTCCTGTGTTAATGCTAAAATAGCTGCCGGAGGAGGAGGGGGTTAGGAAGGAAGGAAAAGCATCATGTTGTGTTCGAAGCATCAGTCAACATCACTTACTTTACTGCCACATTTTTGCAGTTTTCAATCTCTTGCTTTAATTTCTGCAGTTTATTCTCTATGTTCTTGATCTCATTTTGTGCTTGAATTAATTCATCAAACTTGGAAAGTATGGGTTTTCTTTTCTCCTTGGAGCCTTGAGAAATAATGGTATATTACGTACATTAGGCCATCCATGTAACCTTCTTCACTGATTCCAAGAAGACCAGGATAGGATGAAAGGATTGGGAGTTTAGGCCAAGGGAAGTGAGACATCTTAGGAGATTCAAAGCTTTTCAACAGTTTACTGATGCAGCAAGAACCATTTAGTCATGTAATGTTTGGGAAGAATCRCTGGGTCTTTATAATAATCCTTATCAAATTCATTAATAATTCATAAGGTAAACACAATGGAAAATCATTGCCGTGACCACATCTTTATATGAGCAAGAGATTTGTCCTGATTTGCATACCACATTAACTTCGATTTTATCTTACAAATGATGTTTTATCCTGAAGTTTTTTTCAAAATATGCTTTAGCTTATGTTGTAATTTGATAAGCAATATAAAATATTTGCGTCCGACCTTTATGGGCTATAAAACTGCAAGCTTGCAGCTCGCAGTTTTAACCCATAAAGGTCTCCCACTCATATTTTATATATTACAAAGCTATCCAGTTCATGTACTGACTCTTATAAGCAGGGAACACTTTTTGAGTATCAATTGATTAAGTTTACCTCCAGTTAATGTTCCAGATGGGTCGAAGATATCACCTTCTACTGTCACAGTTTTTGATTTAACTTTTGGATCATAAGTCACCTAAAA